TGGGAGCCCGTGGGGGCTTTGGTTGGGGCATCTTCTCACTCTTTGTCCAGAGGGGAGGGCAGGGGGGGGAGGTTGTGGGAGGGAACAACAGCAGGTGTCCCTGCTCTCCCTTTCAGAGGAGGGGTTATGGCAGTTCTGCAGGGCTCTGGTGAGGTGGCAGGCTCTTCCCGTCTCCTGCTGGGCAGTGTCTGAGCGGGGTCTGTAGTCTGGGAGCAGGTAGCTCGGGGGGGAGTGGTTTGGGTACTTTTTTCTCGAGGTGTGCTGTGGGAATTGATGGGGGGCGATGGGATGGGGCTCTGGGCTGGGGACACCAGGAGTTACAGTGTGTGAGTGGTGTCTGTTGCTTCTTGGGGAAGAGGGACTGTGGAACTTGTCAGGGGGCTTTGGTTTGGGGAGGTGACAGAGCGGTCTGGCTTGGGTGACCACACACCCAGTGAGGAGGAGAAGCTGAAGCCCGCTCCGAGCTGTAGCTCAGTCACACCCTGTAAGTGAGCACTTTGTCATGACACCCTCTGGCAGGACTGAATCCCGCAGCTCTTATTTAGGGCAAAAGGCCTGTGGAGGCCTCTCCAGGATGTGGGCTGAGAAACGTGGGCCTGCCTGCTGTCAAAAGGGGCTTCTGCTCTGAGGCAATCCCAGAACGGCAACTTAGCTCAGCTTGGCACCTTTCCCCAAGGAAGGAGGAAGGAGTTGTGGTAAACGGTGATGTTGTTTGTGTGGCAGCTGTGTTGCTGGAAGGCTTGTGAGGTGCTCTGCAGTGATTTCATAGTTTAACCCTTACGCTGGTCCAGGGTGGCTTTTCCAGGGGAAACCTGCTTTTGGTGCAAGCAAAAGCATTGTGGAGAGTTTCTGCCTTTGCTGCCCCTCAACAAGTCTTGGCTCTTCCTCAGCTTTGAATTTATTGCCTTGTGCCATGGGGCTGTGGGTGAGAAGGGTTTTTTTTGGAGCCAAGCAGGAGGCAGACGCATGGATCAGGTCGAGGTGCATTCCTGGGGTGACGGGTGTGCCTCCCGCCGCACGGGGGAGAAAGACATGGCAACCCTGCCTGGGCAAGAGCAATTTAGGATCAAGCTTGTTGTGTAGGGATGGATCTGCTGAGCAGCAGCGGCTGGAAGGATGGCCTTCAGCTCTGTCCTCTTTTCACTGCTGTGTAAGCGAAACGGTGAATGCTGCAGTGTGGAAACCCTCCTTGAGTCCGAATGAAATGCTTCGGCCATCTGCTCCCAGACTAAGGATCAGCATTAGTTTTGTTGCATGGAGACAGCCAGGAAGGAAGTGCTCCTTTGGGTGGGATTTGGATGGGTCAAACCATAGTTTGGTCTTGAAGTTGTGGCTGCCTTTCAGATTGTAAAGTAAATATCCAAGCACAGTTTCCCAAACGAGCTGGGTTTCTCCCAGATTCCACCCTCAGGAGCTAGCTTGCCCCCTGTATTAAATGCTTTTCTCCTGAGGGGGAGTGATTTCTATCGAGGAAAGAAAGTCCTGAGGAAACTGGATGAGTTACCTGGTTTATGTTGGTTAAGATGCACTTTCCTCCCACCACAGGGTTGTTCAGCCTCGCAGCAGCTTTGATGTGTGTCATCATGCCCGACCACGCTGACGTCAGCCTCCCGCCGGATGAGCGAGTCCGAAAACTGATCCAGGTGGGAAGTGCCGTGGAAGTGAACGAGGACGTCCCGCCGCGACGCTACTACCGCTCCGGAGTGGAGATCCTCCGCATGGCGACTGTTTACTCGGAGGAAGGCAATATTGAGCATGCCTTTATCCTCTACAACAAATACATCACGTAAGAGCAGCACTGCTTTGTTTGCAAGTAACCGGCGTTGATAGGAGGGGTTGTGGGTTCGGTGTTGCATGTTTTGAGCGTGTCTAAACACTGTGAGGCCTTGGTGAGCTGGAAGAACTGGGTTCTGTCCAGGGCGTTTATGGATTTCAATCCTTTTGACTTTCGGTTCCCGCGGAGGTGAGGATGCAGCTGGTTAGACTGACCAGGAGATGTCATAAATGTGAGGCACAAACCCACAAACACTGCTCACCTCTTTGTGGGAGGTTTGTGAAAGTTGCCTTTGAAACCAGGCTGACCTTGTGTTCCTCTGTCCCTCTGCTAGTGGAGACTCCTGTCAGCAGGAGGGAGGTTTTGTCTCCTGTGTGTCAAAGCTTCCTGCTGTTTTATTGCTGCAGAGGAGCTAGATTGGTCTTGATTGTCACTAGGTTGGCTGTGACATCATACGGATTGGCAAGGATCCATGGTCAAGGATGTCTATACCAGATATCTCCCTGGAAAGGATCTAGGCTGGTTGGTGGTTTCTCTAATAAACAGCCTTTGGAGGAGAAGCCTGCTTTACACTTAGGTTACTACAGCCTTTTACAGCAGGCAGCGAGTTTCTCCCTCAGGTGCAGGGACCAGTTGTAGGTTTAGTTTTACATCTCAGAAGGAGTATAATCTACCCCTCTCCAAACACGCACACCTACGCCCAAGCCCTTCTTAGGAGGGACGTGGGGATGAGTTCTGGGTCCAAAGAACCTAATTCCAATCAACTGGTTTCTTGGGTACCGAGCACTCTTCTAGAAAGCTCCAGATCGTATATAAACCCAGCCAACACCCTGTTTGGCGTTTCAGCTGCCGGGTCTCCAGCTGTAGGGTCTGCATTCCATGTAGGCAAGTGCAGAGCCGCATATTCTTGCTGTCATCTCCGTAGCTGCCCAGAAACGAGCCATCTTGGGTCTGAAACCCCACTGCTGTGCCCGCCGGGCTGGAGCATACACCGTGCTAACGCGGTGACGTGGTGTCGGGTCTGGATAGTGTCTGAGCAGCCCAGAGTACAAGCGGAGCAAGCGTGCGCTCCTCTGCGTAGCTGTGCCTGTTGGTGTTTAAAGGGCTGAAACTCATGATTCTCAGAAAACATCCCAATGGCAGAGTGTCCCGTTCCTGTAGGTTTTTTGGCCAACAGCCTGTTCCTCCCGCTTTTACCCAGTGCCACTCTGGTATGGTCCTTGTTGTGCCCACACTACCCACTTATCCAGGATGTGGTTGGCATCTCCCTGGGCATTTTCTCTCCCTGCCCCTGCGTGCAGGGTTCCTGCCCCTTAAATCCAACACATTTTTCTCTGATTAGCTTTTCTTCCCGCCTTGCACTTCCTGAGCTTTTATGGGCATTTTAGCGAGTGCCCTGAGAGGCTGCACAGGGAGCTGGGAAGTGTAAAACCCTCGGGAAGGTTTCCAGGCTGGTTACGTAGCTGGGGCCAAAGGAGAAACTCTTTAACTAAACAAATGAACTAAAAGCACCTTTGCTGTTTCATTATAGCAGTAAGAGGTCCTGGCGTGTTTTCTCTCCAGCAGCTTTCAAACGCTCGTGGCTTGTACGTTAGCCTGGCTGCCAGGAGGGTGAGAATCCTTCCCTTGGTGTGATTTCTTCAGCACTGATGAATATGAGCTGTTTCCCTGGATTGTCCAAAGAGATGAACTTAATATCACAGTCTCGTTTCTGTCAATGAAGATAGGAAACTGTAGCTCAAGCAGTGGGCTTGATGCAGAATTTTCTAGATGCACTTCCCCAAGGGGCACAGTCCAGAAGGCAAGGGCAGGGCACTGGTAATTGCAGCCTTGCACGGGACTTGCTCTGCTCTCCCCTTTCTAGAAACAGGACTTGGATTCTTGCCCTGCTGCTTCAGCCCACATCTGTGGTCAGTGCTGTGGCTGCCCTTCCTCGGAGCTCAGCTCCATGCCAGAGCGTATGACCTAGTGCGGGTGCTTTCCTCATCAGCCTGTGCCTTCAGGAAGGGCAGGGCTCCAGCCTGGAGAAGTACGAGAGGCTCTTAGCTTGGTGTGTTTGGTGGGAGCGAGGTGTGCCTTGTGGGCTTTAGGTAGCTGGATTTCTCTTTATTTCCCTATAGAGCACTCCCCAAGCCTGATCTCAAGACACGATGAGATCTGGGTTGAGGCACCCGATCTGGGGAGCCGTTGGGTTTGAGACAAGCCATTGGGTTTGAGACAAGCTTGTTTGGTCACGGGGTAGTCTCAAGACAGATCCGCAGAGATTCCCCCTGAGGCAGCCCATTCCCTGTTTGGCCCTCTGTTGCCTGCTTGACCTCCAGGTCTCTTGGCTTACACAGCACCTCTGTTTCCCATGTGGAAACGAAGCTCATTGCCCAGCACTCCTCACGGGGGCGCAGGAGGGCGACACGACTATCTCGAAGAATAAGCAGGTTGGGCTTTTAACACATTTGTCTTGTCACCTTGTCAGACATCTGCTTGCGTGTCTTCTTGAACAGCTGCTTCTGCATTATCTGAGTGGATGTTTTCCTTGCCTTGCCATCAGGCACCATAGGTTTGATTTTGTTAAAGCCTAATAAGAAAGTAAATAGATCAAGATGTGAGTTTTTTGTGGTGTCTGGGTCCTGGTTAGCCTGTGTGACTGTGAGCTGCTAGGATTGGCTCTGGGGGTTTGCGTGGGGCGTTGCAAGGGACTCGAGAGATGCCGACTTGGCGTGCGTGCTGTAGCAGTGCTTAAAAATAGCCTGTGATGTGGCTGCCTGGTGCCAAACAGCTGCTGCTCACAGTGGACTTGGGAGCAGGCGGAGGTTTGAACAAGCCCAAAACTCCTGGTGATGGGAGCCGCAGGTTTTGGTCTTGCCAAGCCTCAGCTGGGCTGTCGATAGGAAGTGGGAACTGCTCCTGCCTTTCCTCTGCCTCCCTCCCCAGTCTGCTGCTGCCTGGTCTTGCCCCAGAGTTTTACCCTGGCTGCCTGAGCCTTCCTCATATCCTGCTGCCCACCTTTTTCCCCCTTCCGTGACTTGTGGAAACCCAGCTGTCCCTGCTGTTTTTTCCATCCTCCTCAGGCCAGCATCTGCTCTTAATCCTTCTTAATTAATCCCTTCCATTTTAATCTGCTAGCTGTTGGCAATGATCACAGCCTTGTTTTGTCTCCTCGACACAGTGACCTACTTCACAACCACCAGCCGGGACCTCGCCGTGCGTTTCGGATGGAGCAACGGCTTCTCTGTGGCTCCGGGCTGTGACGTGGTTACGCTGATCCTGCGGTCTCTGGCGAGAGCATCCTCACGCTCTCTGTGGCAACCAGAGGCATTCGGGGTTGCAGGAAGTCCTTCCTCTTCCCAGAGGACTGAGGTTTCGGAGCAGCTGGGCTTATTATTGCACGCAGGAAGAGTGTTCTCGCTCTGTCCCCGCTGAGTTTTTCCCGCTTGGCTCTGCTTGGTTTGTTTGTGCTGTCCCCCAGGTCACAGTCTACTCCTCACTACCCTTATTTCTTGTGCCTGGGCACGAGGCTGCTCTCTGAAGGCTTCAGCATCTCCTTCGGACACTGAAGTGGTGTAGCAAAGAGCCATGAGGGAGAGCAGGGCTTTGTGTGTTGTACCCATGGGCTTTGTGGACACTCGGAGCAAGCACAGCTCTGCGTGCAGGAGGCAAGGACCCAGCTAAGCTTGCTGTGAGCTCACCCTGAGCACTCAGTCAGCTAGCGTGCTGCTGGGGACTTGTTCACAGAGTTAATCTGGGGATGCCTCAAGCCTGGCGAGCCTCACGGGGCTGAACCTGAGTGAACTGCCCCATGTTGGTGGGCTTTTTTCCTCATTCTAGTGCTTGCAGTACTCTTTCTCTGTATCTTCACCACTGTGTCCTACAGAGCTCCCTGGAAGGGGTTATCCCAGTTGTAGAGAAGCCAAAGATTAACCTGTTTGTAGTCGTGCTGGGAGCAGGGTGATGTTGAGCTCAGTGTGATTTTTTCCCCCCTCCCGGCAGTCTGCAGAGAAACAGCCCTGCTGCCTGAAATCCTGCCCTGCCGGGCCACAGAGCCAAAGGGCTCCTGATGCAGCAGCCAAGGATGTTGGGAACTTGCTTTTAGCTTACCTGCAAGTTTTCTCTTTTCAAGGTCTGAGTTGATTTCCCTGTCTTGAGCACAAACAGTTTGTTCCCCTGTGCGGTAGGGCAGTGTGAGCACTGAGTCAGCCGAGTCCTTGAGCTTGTGTGTAATCCCCTTGGATGCTCGCAGAGGTGTAGGCAGGTGCCCAAGGACCTTCCTGAATCACCACCAGTGTCCTTGGTGTTTTAGACCAGCTTATTAATGCTTCTGTTCAAAACAGATGTAGTTATCCTTGAGGATTGTCTCCAAAGTCCAGGTGGAAGAAGAATCTCTTGGGACTGAACACAATCTCCTGTGTGCCATGAGGAGCTCAGAAGGCCATTATGTGAGGGAGGGGCAGACATCTGCCCTGACTGTGGGCTGCTCAGAGCCCAGGGAGGTGACACAGCAAAGGGACAGTGCTGGAGAGGAATGATCCTTACCCCCAAAATGCCACTTACTGTCTTGTGCTTGTCCCTTTCTGCTCTGATTCCGAAATGCAGTTTCTCTCCTGTGTTCACAGGCTCTTCATTGAGAAGCTGCCACAGCACCGTGATTATAAGACTGCTGTCATACCCGAAAAGAGGGAGACAATGAGAGTAAGTAGTAACGTTGCCAAGTCTTTAACGGCTGCTGTCAGAAATGTTTTGGTGTCATCGACGTTGGGGTTTCATGGCTCTGGGGCGAGTGATGCACACAGACACTGAGAAGCCTTGGCTTGGCCGGGCAGTCAAATCCCTTGGGAGTTTGATTTGGGTTCTTCACACCCTGTTGCACTTGCGCTGGGCTGGCTGTGGTTTGCCAGCTTACTTCCCGTTGAGCACTGGGGTGTCCTTTCTTTCCTGTTCAACTCCCTGCTTTCCGAACACCGCGTGGCTTTTCCATCTGTGGTGGCTGGATGCTCGGTGTGGTGGGCCTCAAGGGGATCCCTGGGGATTGCGCACAGCCGTAAGAAGCTACCACTCCTCTGCTCGACACGGACCAGAAGAGGGAAGGACAGCGCTGCCTGAGCTCTTGCTCGGTGGTGGTGGCTACAACGCGCTGGTCTGCAGCCTGCCCAGACACAGCTGCAGCCTGCCCAGACACAGCGTGGAGCTGCTCGCCCCTTCCTGCCCCTTGACAAGCAGGTGGTTTATAATTTCTGGGTGTTACATGTCCCTTGGTTCTTGCATCTCTCAGGTCTGGTTTTTCTTGTCTTGGGACTATCACACTCTTACGACTGTGTTTCCTCCCTGCAGAAACTGAAAGAAGTAGCCTTCCCCAGGGCTGAAGAGCTCAAGGCGGAGCTGTTAAAGAGGTACGCCAAGGACTATGCTAAGTACAAGGAGCAGAAGGTGAGTGAGAGGAGACTGGAGGCCTGTGCTCCCTAGAAGACCCTCAGCCACAAAGTGTTTGGAAGAGGGCAGGTCTCCAGAGCTCCCTGGGTGCTCTGAAATGTGAAGTCTGGGTGGGTCCAGCCCTGTCCCGATCTCTCTCTGCTGCATTATGTAGGTGCATCTGTCACAGGCACCGTGGCACCTCTTTTCCTTGTGCACCCTGGAGGCACTCTGAGCTGGGACTGTTGGTTGGCTGTTTTGTCTCTTTGTCCCAGCGTGAGGTCTAGGTCTGAGGATCCAGAAGCTGAGCAGGCAGCTGCTAGCAGCGTGGGCAAGGATCTGGGGGTCTGTGAGCAAAGCAGAAAACTCCACAGTCAGTTTTGCTGCGGGCAAGTGGGATTTTAGAGCTGGGATGGAGGGAAATCAACCTGGAATTACATTCCTATGGAAGAGGGGAGGCTAAGGCAGCAGTTTTACTGCCCTGGTCTAGCTCTCCTGACGGAAGTGCGGATCTCTGTTTTGCAAGCTGAAGCTTCCTTGCAGGGAGTGCTGCTTGCTGCGTTCCTTTTACAGACCCTTTAGAAGGAGCCTGGGATTGCTGAGGGTCTGAGGTGCACAGGCTTTGTATTCTGCCTCGGGCCAGCGTTCCCCTGCCTGCTGATGCCTCTTGGTGTATTTCTCCTTGCAGAAGGAGGAGGCAGAAGAATTTGCACGCAACTTGGCTTTGCAGCAGCAGCTGGAAGAGGAGAAAAATCGGGTAGCCCTGATGAAGCAGCAGCAGGCAGAGCAAGAGCAATTTCATGCCTTTGAGGAGATGATTCGACGACAGGAGCTGGAGAAGGAACGTCTAAGGATAGTGCAGGAATTTGGAAAGCCAGAGCCAAGTCCTGAGTCTCTGGACGGGCCCCTCATCCCTGGTGTGGAAAAGCCCCCGACTGATTTAATCCCAAAGGTTCCTGTCTCTCCAGTTCACCCTGCAAGTCCATCAGCAGCGACTGTCTCATCCAAGCCTCCTGTCGTGGACAGATCTTTGAAGCCCAGTGCTCTGGGGAGCACGGAAACCAGTTAGTACCTCTCAGTACACCCTTTTCCCTTGCTGGGGCTGTGCCAAATGCAGTTGAGGAGCCGATTTGTCTGGGAGGTTCTTGGATGTATCTGATCATGGCTCCATCCCATCTGGGCCTTCCAAGTCACTGGATGTTCTCCCTGTTGGCCAGTACATTTTTGCAGGGCTGGGGAGAAGTCCCCTCTTGGGAATCAGCCCCCTATGCTTCTCCAGCCCGGTCTCTCTGCTGATCCAAAGTCTACAGCCGATTTGGCTTCCCTAGATCCAAATACTTGTTGGAGGCTGGGGTTTAGTTCCTGGCTAGGCTGGCCAGATTCTCCTCCTGACCAAATTCTCTTCTGCAAAATACGGCTCCAAAATACTGATGGGGACATTTCTTGATGACTGGTTCATGCCCAGTGACGTGTCTTACTTTAAATGACATGATGTAAGCGTGTGTGGAGTCGTTTTTGTTAACAAAATACTGGAATTTGGACACACAGCTTCAAGTGTCTTTCTCGCTACGTGTCTCTTGCCCTGTTTGGAAAGGGGTAGTGGCTGTCCCTTGTGAAGCGTCACAGTGGCTTTATTCACCTGTGACTGCTGTTTTAAGGGTAGACATTAGAGCAGTTTGTTTCCAGTCCTTCCAGGTACTGACCCGAGGGATCTTTTCTGCAGCATCCCCAACTGTCATTGCTCATTGTGCTCCTATTCTCCCCACAGATGCAAGTATGGATGTCCTTCGCCAGGTCATCGTCCCTAGGGAGCTCTGCCAGAAATTCCTCCAGCTGGCTGATGCCAACACGATCCGGGGTGTGGAGACATGTGGGATCCTCTGCGGTAAGCTGGTAAGGTGATAATCCTGGTCAAGACCCTGGAAGTGGCTCAGGGGCCTCTTGTCAAGGTGCAGCGGCTTTGAAAATGGCTGGAGGACTCTGATTTCTGCCACGGAAGGTTGTAGCGCAGCTTCACTGATGACTAAGCTTTCATGTGAGCGTTAGGAATGACCTGCTTCTCCTTTTCCAGCCTTTTACGTTAGGATTTCCTCACACGGAGTGAGATGCCAGCCACTGAGTCCCCACGAGTATTCAGCTTCCCCCATCCAGGTGCCGACTCTCTGACGGTGCCTGCGCTGAGCAGTCCCACGGTGACGGGCAGCTCCGGTGACACGTCCTTTTGGTACCAGCAGGACTGAGCTGCCCCAGCTCTGAACTGGGACCCTCACCCAGACAAGGCCGTGCAGGCACGGACTGGAGACAGTTAACTCTCCCGCCCGAGAGCTTGCTTGCACAGGTTTCTGTAGGCAGCGCTCTCTCCCCCAGTCACTTGGGGCTGCTTTGCTTGCAGAAGTTTGCTTTGAAATGAAGTTGTTTGATGTAGCGACTTTCTGCGATCCAGCTGCTTCCAGACGCTTGGCGATTTATGTAATTATAAATCATCTCCTAGTGAAGGGGAAGGTTCGCTTTGGTGGGTGTCCAGGACTTCTTTGTGGGTGCTCTGCATGGCAGGGAGATGGAATAGGAAACCGTAGGTCATGCTCAGACTGAGAAAATCCTTTGACTGCTTTGCCAGTAGCTTGCAGTTGCCATTCCTGTGACCTGTAAATGGACGGTAGATGCTTCCATGGGCTTGTTTCAGAGCTGTGGAGCCCCTGAGTGATGAACGTAGAAGTACCATGTTCCCAAAGCTTCGGAAATCACCTTTGCGCCAGTGAGCGGCAGCAGCCCCCCTGCTTGGGAGGGGAGTCCGGTGTGTAACAGCCCCCTGTGCTGCCTTGCAGATGAGGAACGAGTTCACGATAACCCACGTCATCGTTCCCAAGCAGTACGGGGGCCCCGATTATTGCAACACGGAGAACGAGGAGGAGCTCTTCGTCATCCAGGATCAGCACGGCCTTGTTACGCTGGGCTGGATCCATGTGAGTCTCTTGTTCCTCTTTCACTTCCCAACTGGCCTTGCCTTCAGCCAGGAGGGAAAAAGGTGTGTGGAGCAGGGCTGGTGGAAGAGAATTTACTGGAGGAGGTGGCATGGAGCAGGCAGCATCCTCTGCTTGGATTTCTCCCTCTGCTGCAATCTCAGTCACTACTCTCACTGCTGGAGAAATCCAGGTCTGTTTTAAGTTTGGGTCCCTTCCTAAAGCATCAGGCCCTTTTGAAAGTGGGATACTGGGCATCCAACTCATGCTTCATCCACCTAAAAACTGACCCCAGAGGCACTCCTGGAGCATCCTGAGCTCCTGCTGTCCAGCGCAGGGCCTCTCCCGTGATGCATCCCTATAGTAGCGCTGCTTTTTGGAGACAGCTGTGTGCTGCTCTGCCTCAGGATGTGCCAGTTCCAGATTCCTCCGCTGGCTTCAGCACGCTGCCCTGCTGCCTGTCCCCGCAGAGCCTTTGGCAGTCGGATCGGTGCCAAGCAAAACGTTTGGTGCTGCTGAGTAATCTCTCGAAAGCAGCAGCTGCCTCACAGGCTTTGACAAATAAATGCCTGCTGCATGTGCCTGATACATGCGGGGTGTCTGCCTTTGGTGTTAACTCTTCGGTGGCAGCCCTGTGATACTCGGGGACCTTCTGGAATCCTTCTGACCTTTCTGCTGGTCTTGACAACAAAAACCTAACAAACAAAAGGAGAAAGACCCTTTGAGCAGGAATTTAGGATGTGAAATGTAGCTGTCGGCTAGCGTTGGGTAAGGTGGTGGCTGTCTGCGATCGTCCAACCCTTGGGAACCTTGGTGGAATGTGGCATCTTGGCGGTGTGTTCCGTGCCTGGTGATGCTGTGCCCCAGGGTAGCTGCACTGGAGAAGGGTGTGAAGTGTGCGTGTAGGCGTGCAAGGACAGCGTTGTACGCTGTAGTGTGACTTCCTGTGGGATATGGCCAGAAATGTAGAGTTCCTCCTGCAGTTTTCCCAAATGGAAAAGAGGAGCAGATGTTTTGGGACAACCCAAAACCACTTTCGGTACTCAAGCATGTCCTCTGTGCCACCCAAGGAGCTGTGTCACTTCTCCTGCACCCTGCCCTTGGCAGATGCCACTCCTCTGGCCCTGCTGTTCTCCAGCCTCGCTGTAACCTCCTCTCTGCTGCTCTATTTCAGACTCACCCCACACAGACAGCCTTCCTCTCCAGCGTTGACCTGCACACCCACTGCTCCTACCAGATGATGTTGCCGGAGTCCATCGCTATTGTGTGTTCTCCGAAATACCAGGAGTAAGCATGGATGTGGGGTAGGGGAAGCCTTGCCCTCCAAGAGGCTGGGCAGGTCTGGCCTCTTCAGAAGGTACGGAAGGGCTGTTTACCATGCCCCTTCCTCTGCTGGATTCCTGATGTGGGAATAAAATGTCAAGTCACCACAGGAAATTTTTTTGAGCGTGTGTAGTTTGGCTGCTTTTCTGAGCTGGTTCGAGGGGGTGGTTGTATCCAGGTGGTTGCCCACCCGTGAAAGGAGACCCCGCAGGGCTGGGCAGAGGAGCATCCCGCAGCATGCGTCCCTGCTCTCGCTTGAGATGAGCAGGCTCAAGCGTGCTCCTCGAGACCCAGGAGATGCTTCTACCTGCAGAGGCTTGAGCTACACAGACCTTGTGTTTATTTGCTCTAGGACGGGGTTTTTCAAGCTGACGGAGCATGGCCTGGAGGAGATCTCTTCCTGCCGGCAGAAAGGATTCCACCCGCACCCCAAAGACCCCCCTCTCTTCACTGTAAGTCCCCCCGGTGAGGCAGCGGGGCTGGAGGGCTGCGAGTTGGCGTGTTGGCCACTTCACTTGGATCTGGGTCTGTGTTGGTGCTCGGCTGCGACCCAGGGCTGGGGGCTCGGCCTGGCAGGGCCTGTCTCTGCCTAGGGTTGAGGTGCAAGAGCCTCCTGACCCGCTGGGTGTGTTGGAGGCGTGAGGCAGAGCGCTGCTCTGCAGAAACAGGTCAAGCCAGCGGCAAAGGCTTTGAGAGACCTGTATTTGTGTCCTGCCGTGGGCTCTGTGTGGCACCCGGCACTGGTTCCTGGTCCGAGAGGGCTGTTGTGCAAAGGACACTGGGTGCAGGTTGTGTCAGGGGGTAGAAGGAGACTCACCTGAGCTGTGGGAACATCTGAATAACTCCCTGTCTGCTCTTTCTCTTCCTCTCTCTTCCAGACCTGCAATCACGTGTCCGTCGTGGAGAGAGACGTGGTCCTGATGGATCTCCGATAGGCCTTAACCATTTACCCAAAACCATCGGCCTTCCTTCTAGGCCTAGGAAAACGGTTTTTTTGGGTTTTTTTTCTTCCTGTAGCAGATGATTTCTACCGTGTAGTGATCCTTCCCCTTCCTCCTTCAATAATGGCAGTGAAATCGGTACCCTGACCTCAGTGCATGTGAAAACCTCAGTGCCTGGCGTCGGGCCGGCAAAGTGGTGCTGAGCTTCGAGCTGCGGGGAGAAGCTAACTGGAAATTCAAAGATGGAAGCTGACACTGAAGCACTTGTTTAATACTCTAATCTGCGGCTTGAACGGTTTCCTGGGGGAGCAGTCCCTGCGATTTGCTGCAACCATGAGGTGTGGAAACCTCTTCAAGTGCTTTCCAAGGTGGGACTTGCCCAGATGAACCCTTGCTTCGTTTGGCCTCTCTCTCTGGGTTGCTCTGGTCTCCGTGCAGCTGGCTGGAGTAGATGAGCCTTTGCTGAAACCTTCCTAAGGCCTCGCACCCTCACTCAGGAGCTTATCACCGCTGAGCTGGAGCGAGTCCTGCTTGCTGCTGCTCAGCTTTTTGCCTGGTGAGGTAAGAAGGGGCCCAACCTCTTTCGGGAACCCCTATTTCGGCGTTTTGGGGGAGAAGGTGCCTGGATGCGGTACTGTTCTGCGCGAGCTGCTTCGCTCCAGCAGCGGTGAGGGGTGTCTGGTTACTTTATTCCTTTTCCTGGATGGAGGCTTTGCTCCAGCCTTTGGGCTGCTCGGCGGGGGCTGGGTTTTGGCTTGTCCTTGGTGTTACCGTGGAGGAGGCGCTCAGTCTGGGCTGCAGTGCTGTTGTGTGAAGGCTCTGCAAGGCCATCGCCTCTCCGAGACACGACTCCAGCCGCTTCGATCCTCAAAGACCGCTGCCTCCGACTGCCTCTCAAAGCAGTATGAAATCTGTCCTTGCCAAAACCAAGCGCTCCGTGACGTCGCCGTTGTGCGGTACGCCGGCAGGGACCTGCTCCGAGTTATTGTCATCGGATGCCAAGGAGGGATTTTCCTTCCCTGCTGAGCCTCTGCCCTCACGGCTGCCGGCTTTGAAAGGGAAGCAGCAGGATGGAAAGGTGGAAGGCATCTGGCGTCCAAGGGCTGAGCGTGCTCGGCAGCGTCTCCCCGTCCTCTGGCGGGATGTTCTGACGATCGGTGCGTGGCCGTGCGGGGAGGGAAGAAGGCTGGAGTTGCCTTCCGGCCTGGCACACGTATGTTCCGTGTCGTGTCCGTGTACTTCTGCGCACGGAATGGGTTGCTGCGGAGTTCAACACGTCTGGGTTGTGTTGCCTTGGCTGGGTTTCTTCTGCCAGTCGTTTCCTTCGAGCTCACCCGGAGGGTTGGCGGGGTGCGTTTCTTTGCAACGCCACCTCCTTGACTGCTGCGTGCCAGAGTGCTGCTGCGCTTGTGTCAGCAGGCCGGTTTGGAGACGGGCTCATCCCGGGGGCATCTGTGGGAACCGACCTTCGGACCTGATTCATTTAAACCACGCTGGGGGGGTGGGTTTTGCAGCCTTGGTGTCGGGGTGTTCATCCCCCAGCCCCGCGCTGGAGGGAGCTGTGTGCTCTTCACCATCGTAGCAGCATGGGGACAGGAGGTGGGAACGCCTGTCCAGCAAAACAGCTCCTCCTTCAAATACCACAACGGATTCGTCTCAGCTCCCCGTCCCTGAAGGTCTGGGGTCTGAGCTGCCCCCAGCATGGAGCGCCAGCCGGGGCGAGGAGCTGGTGGCACATCACCGCGTCGCTCACGCGTTGTCCCAGTGACCCATTAAACCCTCGTGCAGGATTTCCGAGGGCTCCGCTTCCCACGTTGGCTGCGGCCACGCACCCGAGCCGCCGGCTTTTTCATCGCCGTTTGTTTCCTCGCTTAAAAGTCGCCGGGTCGTCAGTTCGTGCGTCGGGGTGAATGTTGATATCCTGGCGCTGCTGCCCGTGTCCTGCTGCCCCCCCCACTTTGGTCCAGCTGCACCAGATGTGACTGTTGTACCTTAAAATCCCTGGAAACGGGTGTGTCTCTAGGAGCTGCAACCGTGCTCTGCAGCACTGATTTAGTCTCAGCGACACGAGTTGCGTGTTTGGGGGGGGGTTTCCTGCAGGCAGGGAGTGATGCTTATCTCTGCCTCGGCATGGGAACGGCCCCAAATCCCTGCCCGAGCTCTCATCGCCGGTTCCCCCCTCCAGCCCCAGAGGTTTGGAGCGTGGCTGCTACCCTTATAGGGAGGTGCCGCGGGCCGGCTTGCGCCCGGGGAGTTTTGAAGTCCCCCAGCAAACCGGGGATTGCTTCCCCCCTTGTCCCCTGTTCAGCC